GAGGCCATTGCTAGTAGGTTGGAGGCCATCGCTATTAGGTTGGAGGCCATCGCTAGTTGGTTGGAGGCCATCGCTATCAGGTTGGAGGCCATTGCTAGTAGGTTGGAGGCCATTGCTATTAGATAGAAATGGCGAAAACAAAATCAAGACTCTTAAGCTGGAAACTGCGGAGGCATAGATCTCCCACAAAGATCTTCCAGATGGAAAGTCCATCATTGGGCCTACAAGTGATAACGAAGTAATGCTTCTGTGGGTCTATTCAGTCAATTCTATTGAAGCAAGCGCTTTTCATTGTCATGTTATTTCAATCTGTTTGACACATTTGTTCATCCAACTTGCGGTCTTCCTTGCGGTCTTCCTCGTTTAGCTTTCTTATCTGACGCACACACACACACACCTGTCCGTGTTCAATACAAACATTTCACATTTTACATCATTGTGCTAAAGAAACAATATTGTCGCTTGAATACTTTCGGCCCATGTTGGTTAACAAATTGAAGAAACTGATCCCTGCCAAGCCGGCCGTCAACATCCACACAAAGATGGTAAGATTGTCCTTGCAAAGCAAGAATATGCAGTAATTTGTTATTGAATTGAGAAAGTTCGGACTCGGAGCAAGGACGCAAATAGCTCCTGGCCTTACTACTAGTAACAAGAAGCTACTAGGAACAAAGGGCATCGCTACTAGGAGCAAGGACCCTACTAGGAACAAAGGGCATCGCTACTAGGAGCAAGGACGCAACTAGCATGCAAAACTAATCTCTGTTGTGTCCTGGCTCCAAAGAAGTCGTATCCAATTGAGCTGCCCATTGATACCCACCTGTGTGGCAGAAAGCCGTCTCAACTTCTCAACCCAACCAAACCCACAACCAAACCCAAACAAACAACTCCACTCACACTGAAACTAGGAAGTCACACATTGGAGAAAGAAATGGCCGACATGCTCCGAAAAAGATTGACCTCTTTCTGAAATTTCTTGCACGATGAAGTACAGTAATGGGGTCAAAGTATTTGCGCATGCGTGAGTCGCGTGAGTGTTTGTGTGTTCACGGCATTGGGCACTCCTTGGCAAACACGGAACGAAGCGACTTGGAATGCTAAGCACAGTCTGATCAACGGTGTGTTTCTTGTTACTAGTAGCGTCTTGTTCCCAGTAGTACGGCCAGGAGCCCCCAATAGTGTCCTTGCTCCTAGGAGTGATGCCTTTTGTTCCTAGTAGCGTCCTTGCTCCTAGTAGCGATGCCCTTTGCTCCTAGTAGCGTCCGATCGCTCCTAGTGCCTGCTACATGATTTCATGGTTATCTTGTTTGACAGTTGCGCACGCTGCTTCGAGATTGGGTAGGTCTGCAGTCACATGTTGACCGGCACGTTTGTGTTTTCCACTTGCCCTTTGGATTCAAATAGCATCTCTCCGTTCACCTATGTTCGTGCTCAACCCAGCTGGTTTGACAGCCCAAACGCCAGGTTAGAGCCGGATTCGGAAACTAATCGGTCGGATTCTGAAACTAGGGTTCTGAAACTGGGGTTCTGAAACTAGGGCTCTGAAACTTTGATTCTGAAACTGGTATTCTGAAACTGGGGTTCTGAAACTAGGATTCTGAAACTGGGGTTCTGAAACTAGGATTCTGAAACTGGGATTCTGAAACTTGTATTCTGAAACTGGAAAGTCAGATTCTGCAAATTGCCTTCTGAAACTTGCAACTGGTGATCTCCACATCATGCGATAGCGTGTGTGCCTGTGACATCACCTTCGAAGCACATCCAAACCAACGTCATTAGCCCCCCACCCAACCCCCAACCCCCCCTTGTCCCCATCGTGTGATCTCGACATCCCTCATCATTCACAAAGTTGCGGAATCCTAGTGAGGGAGTCCACAATGTTGCGGAATCCTAGTTGCGGAACGCCAGTTGCGGAATCCCAGTTGCAGAATCCTAGTTGGGGAATCCTAGTTGCGGAATCTTGACAGTTGCGGAATCCTAGTTTCGGAATCCTAGTTGCGGAATCCTAGTTGCGGAACTCTAGTTGCGGAATCCTAGTTGCGGAATCCTAGTTTCGGAATCCCAGTTGCGGAATCCCAGTTGCGGAATCCGACCAAACAGTTGCGGAATCCTAGTTGCGGAATCCTGCGCAGTTGCGGAACTCGACTTTATCCCCAAACGAACCAATTATATATTACTCACTTTCCTTCTGGCGTGCGCTCTCTTTAGGGCACGCCAGGCGTGCAAGAATGTGAACCTCTGTGCGAAATTGTGCCGGCAGAACCTAGCAAAAAACCAGCTGATGTGAACGTGGCGAGAGGTTTTAGGCAATTGTTTCCCCATCGCTACTAGGAGCGATCGGACGCTACTGGGGGCTCCTGGCCTCGCTACTAGTAACAAGAAGCTACTAGGAACAAAGGGCATCGCTACTAGGAGCAAGGACGTCTCACCAGTTCTCACCTCTTCCAGTTTCTCCGTTTGTTTTACTTCACTCCTCGCCCACGACACGCCACTGTCGTAGATTCGGTCGTTGCTTTCTTCCCCGAGTATCATATAGTATGTAGTCCAAGCGTCGTCTACAGGTGAACCCCTCTTTCGTTGGAGCGGAGCCCCAAAACTTATGTGACGATGCAAGCCTGACTGGCACTTAGCTTGTGGCTATCCTTTTTGCTTCTTTGTTGACCTGGTTCATCGTGAATGGAGGGCTTGCATGCTTTACACTGACTATTGCTAAATTGATCTTGCACTTGCTGTTACATTGCGGGGCGATGTTTATGGATGTTGCAGCTTAGATGAGAGTTTGTGATGGCCTTTCGGGTGTTGAGGTGTTTTAACACTCCACGGTCAAAATACCTTAGGAATCCTTCGGATCTAGACCAGTCATTCTTGCTTTCACGTTGAAAAAAGCAGAATCGCAACTGCAAAACTTCAGAGCAGGTCGAAACATCATTTCATAGCATTTCCCTACCTGCAAAGGGTGTTAACTGAGCTGCGGGTGTCCTCGCCGCACCGTGCACACAAGGTGCAAATCATTGTGCTGAAACATGCGAGGTAAATGGCACAAGTATGCAGACCAATTCATAACTATAACAAGAAAAACAATCTTCAATTTGAGTTACTATTGGCAATGGCCTCCGACCAACTAGCGATGGCCTCCAACCTCTTTAGCGAAAACCGGAGTGAACGCGCTGTTTAGCAAAGGCCACACAATACAAGGCTTTTTGTAACATCCATCTCCCTTTACATGATGTTGCCCAAACACCTGCGGTACCGACATTCCTCTTGATACTTCTGAAATCATACACACCCTTTGAAGAAGTATAAGGGCTCTGCCCTATCTATCCTGGGGCTGGAAGCATTTGCATGGCAGTTCTTGGCGAGGAAAACCTGCTCAAGATGAGCGCAGCTAAGGCAGGAACGTGGAGAAACAGGAAAAACATTTTGTCTTTAACGTTTTAGAACATGAACATTAGTCGCAGAATGTGACAATGCGTTTTCAATCCAGTCTTGTTTTCCCACGCTGCTTACGCCTCTGATGTGGTGCTACAAGCAGAGCAATTCAATTCCAATGATTCAGCTGCAGCCTAAGTACACACACAGATTCCTATTCAACCACAAGTTTACGCACTTTGTGACGGTGCTTTGTGACGAGTGAGTTGAGAGCCAGACATTGAAAACAATGGGGGTGGAGACAGCACTCACAGGTGAGATGAACACAGACCTTCGAGAAAACAAGCGAACGTTCCCACAAAGCGCGCTGTGAGGGCAAAAGGATACAGGAGCAGGGGCGCTACTAGAGGCTCCTGGCATCGCTACTAGGAACAAGAAGCTACTAGGGGCTCCTGGCCTTACTACTAGGAGCAAGGACGCTACTAGGAACAAAGAGTTCAAGCATGTCAGACATGACAAACCCAACACATTTTTTACTAAGGCCCTTGACAAGCCGCTCTTACCAACAGGCATGTCCTGCGGTTGTCGTTTGTCTCCCTGCTGCATCAAGTTCGACTTTTGCTCATCATTCAGAGTAAAAACGCATACAGCATCATGGAGCTGAGGTATTCTAGACCTTATCCTTCTTCCATCTTCTTCCTGTTGTTTCCTTGCTGAACATTTTCTCTCCCCTCTCTCGCTCTGATCTCAATGTGTCTGTCCTCCGCCCCTATGCACACATGCACCGACTGCCCGGCAGGCATTGCTGACGCATCCAGGTCAGCCAGGAAAAGGCCTGTTTTGTGTTGCGGCTACTGCTACTACAATTCAATGGCTACTCTTTGCTCTGGGGCTTACAACAGGCACACATTTACCGAACATGTGTTGTGAACAAGATGTAATATGGAGCAAACTCTTTTCTTTGCAGTTTCTGTTTATCACATCAACCCCCTTTGTACTACAAATTCAAACCAAGGAGGTGCGACCATGCAACATTGTACAACTTAAACCGGGACTTTAAGAACTGTTCCTTTCATGTGAAAACACAGTGGCACTCTTAGGCAGGTTCCTCCAATACGTCTTGCAGTTGAAAGAGGAGAAGAGTAACTGGCATTGAAAACCGGCACCTGGCATGCGGCTTGCAGTGCATACGGCTTGTACCAGGCCCTTCGGATGAGAATTGAACGGAACCAAGGAACTCGAGTTCGCGCCTGAAGCATGGTGTCCCAATGCGAACAATCAGTAGCCAAGCGAACTTGAGAGAGAGCTCCGCAGCCACTCTCACAGTCAAAACCTAGGGCTGGTCCAGCTGGCTATATCGTGGCACTTGTTCCTAGTAGCGAACATTGTTACTACTAGTAAGGCAC